CTCCCCGTCGACTCAGGAACTCCACCAGGGGGAGAGGTGGAAGCGGAGTTGACGGGGGAGCCATGGCCATGGATCCTGCACCGTGAGGACAGGAGGTAAGTTGAGCTAAGATACGTCGACTTCTGCTACACTATTCTTGTAGCTGAAGTTGCATATCTTAGATCGATTTCCCCCTTCCCCCTCTCCCCCCCCCCCCCCCACGTGTAGACCAGGAGAGGGTCCCGGGTTGTGCATCGCTAGCAGAAATAGACGGCCCTGCAGCCCGGACTTAAACACCTTGCTCCATGAGAGGTGGGGCTTAGAACACATGCCTCTCATTGGCATCTGCCATTAGCTAGCTAAGATGCTCCCCACAGTGTGCTGGCTTTTGTGGATCCCATGCATAGGTGTCCCTCTCTCCCTGGTCACTGTGTGGGGAGTCTCGGTGCCTTGCTCGGGCTTGGTGAATCCCAGTCTCGTGCCTAGGATTTTCTAGGTGGCTCCAAATTAGACATTGCCATGTCTAAGACCCTTTGTCGACCCAGGCTTGTTCCAGATGAAGATAGCCACATGGCTTCCTCTGAAATACCTCCTCACTGGACTGGAGCAAATACTGTCTCTCCATGTTCCCCCCTGCTACTGGTGGTCCCCTAACATGACTGAGAAAATCATAAGGCTCCAATCTGCCTGATCAACTGCCAGGTCCACCTTCAGGCTGTGCTCACGGCCACCTCGGCCTCACCCATCTCCACCAAGCTTCCTCTCTCAAAACCAAGGGACCTCCTCCACCCAAACCCAGAGCCAATGCAGCCAGTGGCAGGGATCACACTGCCTTGAGCTTTGGAAATCAGGCGATCCATGAGGGACTGTAGGAAACCTACCAGAAACTCCTATGCAGCCAAGTGGAAGGGGTTTCCTCTGGCTTTCTCTACAGAGAAGCATGACCAGCTTTAACACCTGTGGCCGACTATTTAATTTCCTCCTGTACTTCAAGGTAAGTTCCCTAAAAGTTCATGCCGGCAATAGATACATTGAAGTCCCCTTCCTGGAGCATGATGTGTTCATAACCTTATCATCACATTCTTAAGGAAACTGTCCAATACCCTCACCCTGTCCATGAGCTGCTCCTTGGACTGGCTTTAAAGTGGTGATTTCATCAGCTGAGTCTCTGGGAAAGTTGATCTCTTCTTCTGTCGTTCAGAGAGGAGTGTCACTGATCCCCAGGCGCTAATAGCCTCTGGGGAGGCTCAGGTGGCTATTAGCCGGGATGGGCAGGGATGGTGTTCCTAGTCTCTGTTTGCCAGAAGCTGGGAATGGGTGACGGGATGGATCACTTGATGATTACCTGTTCTGTTCATTCCCTCTGGGGCACCTGGCATTGGCCACTGTCGGAAGGCAGGATACTGGGCTAGATGGACTTTTGGTCTGACCCAGGATGGACATTCTTATGTTCTTAGATGTTGTGTGAAATCCTCAGCCCAGACGAGCTCTAAAAGGGCCCTTACTTGCATTTGAACCAGATCACTAAAATGACATTCCCTAGCAGGGCCATCAGGGTCCATAGCTTGGATGCCTTGAGGGCCCTTGGCTACTCCCTTTAATGGCCACTTGGCCTCGAGCTGGCCATAGGCTAGAGTACTGGGGAGAGGCTCACGTGCCCTGGCCTGATCGTCTGATGCCCAGTTTGAGAGAGCGTCCCTGCACGTATTGGCCTACTTGTCCTCCTGAACCCCACCTTCTCGGAACAGTGCTTCTGCCTCTTATTCTCCTGAGACCAGGGCTCTGGCCTGACAATACTGGGCAAGAAGTTAATTGCCTGTGCCTGGGCTGCTCTGAGCACTCCCTTGGGGCAGATGGCCATGCAGCTGCTGATAGTCAAAGCTTTGCAGAACGTTAAAATTCAATAGTACAAAGCTCAAGGCACTTAGGGGCTAATAAGAATTTCTTCTACCGGCTTGGGGGGGGGCAAGGGGTTATCAGCTGGAAGTGACAGAGGAGGCAAGATAGCTGGGCATGTGAGTTGATCACAGGGTGACTATGAGCCACCAATGTGATGTGACTGGGAAATGGCAAATACTGGGATGTGTCAGGCAAGGCATTTCCAATAGCAATAGAGAAGTAAAATCCCATCATACAAGGCAGTGCTCAGACCTCATTTGGAAGACTGTGTACAGTTCTGGTCACACAATCTCAAGAACACTGATGATGCGGACAGGACAGGCAAGGGTCACCTGCCCCCCCCAGATTGCTTGGTCACATGGTGTGGCTGGGCCCTCTCCCAGTGGAGCAGCTGAGCCAGTGAGCTGAACCAGGCAGGGAGAGGCAGAAGACAGAGCAGAGGACTCTCTGGGATCTGCAGGAGGGGCCGCTGCTTTAACTGCTGGGAGAGACAGAGGAACAGCTGGGAGCTTCTGATAAGGGGCCAATGCTTTCTGGGAGAAGAGGGGCTGCTGTGGGGGGTGGAGGGAGACTCGAGCTGTTCTGGGGTTGTGCCCTCCATCTTTCAGTAGGCCTGGGTCTATGCTCAAGAAAGATGAATTTACAGGGGAACAGCTGGAGAGAATTGCTGTTAGGATGATTGGGGAATGGACAGCTCATCTTATGAGAGGAGCATGGAAGAGCTTGGCTTGTGTAGCCACCAAAATGAAGGTTGAGCGCGGAGCTGATTGGTCTTTCCTGCAGTATATTTACAGTGAGCTCAAAGAGGATGCCAAACTACTGAAGCTAAAGGACAATGTTGGCACAAGAGCAAATGGGGAGAAACTGAGGCTGGAAATGAGACAATGGTTTCCAGCCATCAGAGGACGGAAGTTCTGCAACAGGCTCCCTACAGGAGCCATAGGGGCACAAAACTAAACTGTTTGGATACAATGAC